AAAGGAGATTAACTGTAATGAGATGAAAGATTTTATCATTGATGTATTGCTTACTTCTGGGCCACTGTATACTAGGATAGAATGAAGGCTTTCAAAAGTATTATTCTATACTTGCCTTTGGAACAAATGATGCAGCTTTAGTTATTTACAGGTTCTCTATCTAGAATATCAGCATTTTGGAAAAAACAAGCCTAAATGTTAATGCTTTAATCAGAAAGAGAAAATAAAATATGCTGAATCTGGATCTATACATCTTTAAGAGTAAATCCACTGAAATCAATGTCTCATTGATTATGATGATTCCACTGTATATGATTAAATCTGCATTCAACCCAAACTTATGATAGTGGAACCAGTTACTTAGAGAGATGGTGGGCTCCTCTTTGTTGAATGTGTCCAAAGCAAAAACCAGAAAATCATGTATCATAGATATTTGCATCTGGATGTCTGTACTGAATGGGGAGTCAGAATCAATGGCAATGATGGCCCCTCCAATTCTGTAACTCAGTGATTTTAGTCTGTTGGCATATTTACAAAAAAGACTTAGAGGTAGGATGGAAAGACATTAAACTGAGATCTATGGGTAGATCAGCAAGATTTTTTGTTTAACAAGAGCAACAACTAAAAGCTTTCCCCTCAAAAAGTAAATATATAAATAAGTTGCTGCTTATTTATATAGGGGGATTGGGGGGAGCTGCTCAGAGGAAATCTAGGAGAGAATTTCTATGTGGAAGAACTTTTGGCACTGATAAAAAATTACTGAACTGAATGTGAGTTCAGAAACACCCTATTACTTCATTCTTAGTACTAAACTACAGTACTGCCTATACCTATATCCATCTGGTATATCTCAAGTTTCTAGGGTTTTCTTTTCTTTTATTTCTTTTTGAGAAACCTCAAATATGCCAAGCCATAATTTAAAGGAAACACCAGAGAGTAAGTTAAAGACAGGACTAACTCTGTCCAATAAGAAATAAGAAACATGTAACTTAACTCAGATACAACTAACAACACTTCTATATGGCAACTGTTTCCATTCCACAAAAATAATTTGAAAATCATCTACATATTTGCTGAACTAGAAACACTGAGAATAATGACTGAAATAACTTTCCTGCCTCAAACTTCTATAGGCTGTAGGTTGTCCTGCAACAACCAACAACCCCTTAGCCCTCTTTACAAAAAATGGAAAACACAGCTTTGGCCGTTGCTATAGAGGAGTAAGAGCTGAACAGAACTCTAGTCAGTTTCATGCCTGCAAAGACCACAAGCCATCTTTCTCCTTTAAAGTCTCACTAGCCTAAAATGAATGAGGTCAGAGTTTCCTTTCATGGTCAATCATTTCAAAATGTAACCAAGGGAAATATTAGATCTCTAAGATTACATATAAGCTGCAACTGAGTCACAATTAAGTCGTCTCAGTTTTTCAGTGCTACCGAACTTTTGGCATCCAGTATGTCAGAAATGACTGTCAACCTGGTGCAGGAGTCTAATCCAGTTCCAGCTAGTGACAGAATGTAAGACTAAATAAGATCTTTCTTCAATCTGATAAAAGATGTGTTTAGCCTTTTTCATAATTCCCAGCCTGAAATTCATGTAGCCTCTTAAGATCATTGCCCATGAAAGGGAATTTGTAATGGCTGGCATTTTTCTCTTTTGTGGAATCATTTTGAAAGGAAGAACCAGAAGAACACTGAACATAGATGCTTTCTATAAACATTCCAGATACATTTGTATTATAAAATTTAACTTACATGCCCTATATATTCTTTATGTTGCAATTTCAGTGTTGTCAGATTTATGCAGCCTGACCATTCTGTGAAACCATTATCCTATAAAGATAATCACTGAGATTTGGGACATAGAAAGAGAAAGTTGTTTCAGGTTGATTTCTTAAAATTTGCTCTTAACAGAGGATAAATGAGAGTGAGTTATTACCAACCAAGGATGATATCATTTCAGAAAAGATGTAGATGTATGCTGTGGAGAGAAAAAATCATTTTAAAAATTCCCAGTGAATCCCTGGAAAATGGGATGTCACCTAGAAAATTGAACTCTTCTGCATTCTAAGCCTTCCCTCTCTCTCCCTTTTCAGTCACATAGCCCAAAGTGAAGCTACTGTTAAGGATTTGGAAAAAAATTCCAGACGCCATGCTGTGCACGATTTCCCTCCTTTGTTTTTAGCAAAACCCTGAGGTTCACCAGGTGGAGCCAAGAATTTAACATTGATTGATGGATTAGGTGCCATCAAGTCATTTTTTACTCCTAGTGACCACATAGATAAAATTTTCTCCATGATGATTTATCGCTAATCTGGTTTTTTAGTTCTTCCAACAGAGCACTCATTACCACTGTAGATTGTAGACTGTAGATCAGTGTTGTCCAAACTTGGCCACTTTAAGATGAGTGGACTTCAACTCCCAGA